CAGCCTGATCCGAGCAAAAGCAAGACACAACTGAAGGCCAGATGGCTAAGGACGGCCAAACCAGAGAAGCCAAAGCCACAGAAACGGCGACAGGAAAACTCCCCAGAAGCCAGTGATGATAAAGAAGCAAAAACGGAGAGCCAGCACTTGAACACAAAAGAGATTCCATAGCAAGTCAGAATGGTAAGATGGAAAAGTAGAGAGAAGCCAAGCAATGAGACTCAAGGAAATACCAGCAGAGGCAGGAGGCAAAAGTACCGGCCAAAACCAGAAAAGCCAAGCACTGAACTTCGAAGGAGACACCACAAGAGGGAAAAGACGGCAAACAAGAGAAACCACGACACTCCCATGCAATATACCGGCTCCACCTGAGGGTCAAGATGGGAAGAGAGCGGATAAACCAGCGAAGGATGGAGAGCGACATTAATGTCGAGCCTGAGCCAGCAAAAGCCAGGCACAACGGAAGGCCAAGATGGATAAGGACGTGCAAACCAGAAAAGCCAAGGCCTGAAATGCCAAGAGCACAAGCAGAAAGGCCAGGATGCGTAAGGGAGGGTAAACCTGACAGCCAAGCACTGAAATACTGCGAAGGAGATTCCATCAGAAGGGCAAGAAAGGTAAAGATGGAAAGCAGAGAGAACCAAGCACTGAAACTGCAAAAGAGATTCCATTCAGAGGGACAAGAGGCAAGGACGGCAAACAGAGAAGCAAGCACTAAAACTGACCAAAGAACCCCAGCAGAAGCCAGGAAGGGCAGACGGCACAACCAAACCAGAAAAACAAGCACTAAACTGCGAAGGAGACAACACAGAGGGAAAGATGGCAAACAGGACAACCGCCGAGCACTTCTCACTGCAATACCGCGCTCCAACCTGAGGTTCAAGAATGGGAGGGGTAAACCAGGCGAAGGAGGAGAGGACGTATAATGCGAGCCTGATGCAGCAAAAGCAGGACCAAGGGAAGGCCAGATGGTAGGACGGCAAACAGAGAAGCCAAGCACTGAAACAGCGCAAGAGACACCAGCAGAAGAGCCAGGGACTGATAAGGAGGGATACAACCTGACAGCCAAGCAATGAAACTGCGAAGAGAACCCATCAGTACGGGCCGAAGGATAAAGATGGGCAAAGCAGAGAAGAAGCCAAAGCACTTTAAATGCAAAAGAGATATCCATTCAGTAGGTCAAGAAGCGTAAAGATTGAAAAGTAGAGAAAGCCAAGCACTGAGACTGCGAAGGACAATACCGCAGAGGGCCAGGGAGGGCAAAGGACGGCAAACATGAAAAGCCACAGCCTGAAACCTGCGAAGACGACACGCAGGCAGAAGGCAAGAACGGCAAAGGACAGAGCAAGCAGAGAATAAGCAAGCATGAACACTGCTAAAAGAACCCCAGCAGAAGAGCCAGGAGGGCAAGGAGGCCAAACCAGACAAGCAACGATACTGAAACTGCGAAGAAGGACACCACCAGAAGAGGCAAAATGGTCAAACAGAAACCCGCGAGGCACCTTCCACTGCAATACCGGACTCCAACTAAGGTCAAGATAGGAAGGCAGGGTTAAACAGCGAAAGGGGAGAGGACTTAATGTACGAGCCTGAGCAGCAAAAGCAGGACAATGAAAGGCACAAGATGGTAAGGACGGCAAACCAGATAAGCCAAAGCACTGAAACAGCGAAAGAGACACGCAGAAGGCCAGGATGTTAAGGAGGGAAAACCTGACAAGCAAGCCACTGAAACTAGCCGAGGAGATCCCATAGAAGGGCCAAGAAGCGATTAAGATGCAAAGCAGAGAAGAAGCCCAAGCACTGAAACTTGCAAAAGAGAGCTCATCAGCAAGGAACAAGGAGGCAAAGGAGACGGCCCCAAACACAGCAGAATGCCAAGCACTGAGACTGCAGAAAAAGGACAACAGAGAGGCCAAGAACGGCAAGGACGCAAAGCAGAGAATAAGACCAGCAATGAAACAGCGAAAAGAGACACCATGAGCAACGGCACAGACAGAGATGGTAAAGGAGAGGTCAACCATGAACAAGCAAGCACTGAAAAACTGCAAAAGAGATTCCATCAGCAGGACAAGAGGCAAGCGAGGGCCAACCAAATGAAGCAAGCACTGAAACTGCAAAAGAACGCCCAGCAGAAGGCCAGGAAGGGCAAAGGACGGCCCAAACCAGAAAAAGACAAGTACTGAAACTCGGAAGAGAGCACCACCAGAGGCGAAAGAATGCAAAACAGGGACAACCGACGAGCACCTCACTGCACAATACCAACCGGCTCCACCATGAAGGTCAAAGAATGCGCGGAAGAAGGGTTAAACCAGTGCGAAGGGAGAGAGGACATTAAGTTCGAGGCCCTAGATGCAGCAATGAAGCAGCCACCAACTGAAGGCCAAGATGGTAGACGGCAAACCAGAAAAGCAAGCAATGAAACTGCGAAGGACCCAACCAGAAGGCCAAGGAGAGATATAGAAGGCAAACGGAGAAGCCACAGCACTAAAAACGAAGAAGCATTCCATAGAGGCAAGAAGGGCAAGGAACGGCCCACAAACCAAGAAACCAAAGCAACTGAAACTGCGAACGGAAACTCCACACAGAAGGCCAGGAGCGAAAGAAGGCAAAAACCGAAACGCCAAAGCCACTGAAAACAGCAAAAGAGAATTCCATCAGAAAGGCCAGGGGCAAGACGGCAAAACCAGAAAAGCCAAAGCACTTGAAACGGCTAAAGAGACACCACAAGAGGGAAAGACAGCGCAACGGACCAACCCAACCAAGGCACCTCCACCGCAGATAACCGGCTTCCCGAAGGTTCAAAGAATAGGATAAGGAGGGGTAACAGGCGAAGGAGGAGAGACGTTAATGTCGGCCTGATGCAGCAAAAGCAGCACCAACTGAAAAGGCCAAGAAGAGTAAGGGACGGACAACCAGAGAACCAAGCACATGAGACTGACGAGAGAGACACCAGCAGAAAGGCCAATGAGCGAGCAAAGAATGGGAAAACCAGAAGCCAAGCCACCGAACACTGCAAAAAAGAGACCCCAGCAGAAGCAAGATGCGCAAAGATGGCGGCCAGAAAGCCAAGCATGAGACTGCGAAAGAGCACACAGCCAGAGGCCAAGAAGGGCAAATAATGGCAACAGAAGAAGAAGACAAAGCACTGGAACTAGCGAAAAGAGATTCATCTAGAAGAGTCAAGAGGAGGAATGACGGCAAACCATAGAAGACCGAGACACTAAATCAGCGAAAGGACCAACCAAGCAGAAAGGCCAGGATGGTAAAGGAGCGAGTAAACCTGACAAGCAAGCACTAAACGAGCAAGGGAGACACCGCAAGGGGAAACGGCAAAACAGATAACCCGCAAGCACTCCACGCCGAGTACCACGGCTCAAGCCTGAAGGCAAGATGTAGAGGAGGGATAGAGACAGGCGAAGAGAGAGCGTGAATGTCGAGCCTGACACGCGAAAAGCTTGCCCAGCTGAAGGCCAAGAGGCGTAAAGATGGAAAACCAGAGAAAGCAGAGCACGAAACTGGCAAAAGAGACGCCCAGTTAGAAGGCCAAGAAGGGAAGGAAGGCAAGAGCTGAAGAAGAAGCAAGCACTGAAATGCAAAAGGAGATCCCATCGAAGGGCAGAGGGTCAAGGATTGGCAAGCCAGAGAAAGCCCCCACCCCCCCCATAGCTCACGGAAACGGCGAAAGGAGACACCGCAAGAGGAAAAAGACGGGCAAACAAATAAACCCACCGAGCACCTCAACTGCGATACCGGCTCCGCCTGAAAGGCGCAGAGATGGCTAGGAGGTAAGCCTGACAAAGCCAAGCACTGAAACTGCTAAATGGAGATCCATCAGGAAAGGGCAATGAGGTAAGAGGCAAGCCAGAGAAGCCCGCCAAAAAGCGGCAAACCGAACGACTGCGAAGGAACACCTAGCAGGAAGGCCAGGAGGGCAAGGATGCAAAACCAGAGAAGCCAAGCACTGAAAACTGCGAAGGAGACACCGCAAAGAGGGAAAAGACGGCACAAGATTAAGCCACCAAGCACCTCCACGCGTACCGGCCTCCACCTGAAGGTCAAATTGGTAAGGAGGGAAATCAGGCGAAGGAGGAGAGGGACGTGATGTCGAGCCTGACACCGCGCAAGCCTGCACCAGCTGAAGGCCAGAGTGGTAAAGATGAAAAACCAGAGAAGCACTAAGCACTGGAACTGCAAGAGACCCCAGCAGAAGGTTCAAAGAGATAAATCGGATTGGTCAAACCAGAGAAGACCTAGCACTGAAACGGCGAAGGAGACACCGCAGAGGAAAAAGACCGGAAACAGATAAGCCACGACGCACCTCAAACTGCGGATACCGGCGCTCCGCGCTGAAGGCAGGATGGTAAGGAGGGTAATCCTGACAAGCCAAGCACTGGAAACTGCTAAGGAGATCCCATTCAGAAAGCGGCTAAGAATGTAAAAGTGGCAAACGCGATAAACGGATCGGCCCAGAAACTGAAAAGAGACTTCACCGGCAAGAGCAAGAGGGTTAAAGATGGCAAACAGCGACAACCCTCCAAGCACTCCACGCAATACCGCTCCACCAGTAAGGTCAGGATGGTAAGGAGGGACAAAGCCAGAGAAGCCAAGCCACCGGAAACTGCAAAGAAGACCCAGCAGAGGTCAATAGGGCAAGATGCAAGGCCAGATAGAAGCCACAGCACCGAAACTTGCAAAAGAGGACCCCAGCAGAAGCGTCAAGGAGAGTAAAGATGGCAAACCAGAGAAGAAGCCTAGCACTGAGACTGCGTAAGTAGGACACGCAAGAGAAAAAGACGGCAAGCAAGATAATCGCACAGCACCTCCCCGCCAATACCCGCTTCCACAGAACGTCAGAGACTGGAAGAGGCCAAAACCCGATAAACCGATGCAGAAATGACACAAAAGACTCCACCGGAAGGGGCAAGATGGTAAGCGAGGGCAAACCGAATAACTGAGGCAAACACTGCAAAAGAGACTCACCGGAGGGCAAGATGGTAAAGATGCAAAGCAGAAACCCGCAAGCACCTCACGCAATACCGGCTCCACCAGAAGGTCAGGATGGTAAGGAGGGCAAACCGATAAACGAGTGCAGAAACTGCAAAAGAGACTCCCCGGAAGGACAAGATGTAAGATGGGCAAGCAGGACCACCCTCAAGCACCTTCCAACCGCAATACCCGCTCACAGAATGGTCAGATTGGTGTGTAGAGAGGGCAAACCGATAACGACGTGCAAAACTGCAAAAGAGACTCCACCGCAAGGGCAGATGGGTAAAGATGGCAAGCAGGACAGACCTCAAGCACCTCCACCGCAATACCCGCTCAACCAGAGGGTCAGGATGGTAAGGAGGGCAAACCCGATAAACCGAGTGCAGAAACTGCAAAAGAGACCTCCACGGTAAGGGCATGATGTAAGGATGGCCCAAAGATGGGCAAGCGGAAGGAGCAAAGCGGAGAATCCACAAGACACCTCCACCTAATACCCAGCTCGCCAGAAGCGTCAGGATGGATAGGAGGGGCAAACCCGTAACGGTGCAGGAAACTTGCCAAAAGAGACTCCACGGAAGGAAGATGGAAGAGGGCAACCCGCATAACGAGGCAGAAAACTGCAGAAAGAGATCACCGGAAGGGCAAGATGGGAAAATGGACAAACAGGTAACCCTCAAAGCACCTCCACCGCATTACCCGCTCCGCCAAGAAGGTCATGATGTAAGGAGGAAACCGATTAAACCGAGTGCATAACTTGCCAAAGACACTCACCGGAAGGGCAAGATGGTAAGGACGGCAAAGTACACGGGGGCAGATGAAAGGTGCTAAAGCGGAGAATCACCAAGCACCTCCACGCAATACCCGCTCCTCCGGAGGTCAGGATGCCGTAAGGAGGCACAACCCGAGTAAACCGAGTGCAGAAACATGCAAAAGAGACTCCACCGGAAGCGGGCAAGATGGAAAGATGGCAAACAGGACACCTCCTAAGCACCTCCACCGCCCCAATACCGGCCCACCGAAGGTCAGGATTGGTAAGGGAGGGCAAACGATAAACCGAGTGCCAGAAAACTGCAAAGAGACCTCCACCGGAAAGGCAAGGATGTAAGGACCCGCAAAGAAGGGCAAGAGGAAAGCATGCTAAAGCGGAAGAAGATCACACAAGCACTCCACCTGCGGGAATACCCGCTCCTCCAGAAGGTCAGGAATTGTAAGGAGAAGGTGGCAAACCCGATAAACCGAGTGCAGAAACTGCAAAAGAGACTCCACCGGAAGGGCAAGATGGTAAAGATGGCAAACAGGACAACCCTCCAAGCACCTCCACCGCAATACCCGCTCCACCAGAAGGTCAGGATGGTAAGGAGGGCAAACCCGATAAACCGAGTGCAGAAACTGCAAAAGAGACTCCACCGGAAGGGCAAGATGGTAAGGAGGGCAAACCGGACAAACCGAGTGCGGAAACTGCAAAAGAGACTCCACCGGAAGGGCAAGATGGTAAAGATGGCAAACAGGACAACCCTCCAAGCACCTCCACCGCAATACCCGCTCCACCAGAAGGTCAGGATGGTAAGGAAGGTAAACCGGACAAACCGAGTGCGGAAACTGCAAAAGAGACTCCACCGGAAGGGCAAGATAGTAAGGACGGCAAAGAAGGGCAAGATGGAAAGGATGCTAAGGCGGAGAATCCACCAAGTACTTCAACCGCAATACCTGCTCCCCCAGAAGGCCAGGATGGTAAGGAAGGTAAATCAGACAAACCGAGTGCTGAAACTGCAAAAGAAACTCCACCGGAAGGGCAAGATGGTAAAGATGGCAAAGATGGGCAAGACGGAAAGGATGCTAAAGCGGAGAATCCACCAAGTACTTCTACCGCAATACCTGCTCCACCAGAGGGCCAGGATGGTAAGGAAGGTAAACCTGATAAGCATAGCACAGAAACTGCAAAAGAGACTCCACCGGAAGGGCAAGATGGAAAGGATGCTAATGCGGAAAATCCTCCAAGCACTGTCCCTGCTCCCGTCGAGGGACAAGAGGTTAAAGATGGCAAACCTGCAAGTGAAGATGGCGCTGCAAAGGACTTGAACAAAGCGGATACTGCTGTAGCGGAGCCCTCAGCTGCCAATGCTCAGGAAGTCAAAGACGGCAAACCCGTAGGTGATGTCCAAGAAGGGGCACCAAAAGAAGTCGACAAAGCCGGTGGTGCAGCGGCAGAACCTACTGCCGCTGATGCACAAGAAGTGAAAGACGGCAAGCCTGCAGGTGACGTTCAAGAAGGGGCATCCAAAGACCTTGAAAAAGCCAGTAGTGCAGTCGCAGAGCCTACGGCTGTCAATGCCCAGGAAGTCAAAGACGGCAAGCCCGCAGGTGATGTTCAAGAAGGGGCATCCAAAGATATTGACAAAGCTGGTACAGCAGCGGCAGAACCTACCGCCGCTGATGCACAAGAGGTCAAAGACGGCAAACCTGCAGGTGACATTCAAGAAGGAACATCCAAGGATGTTGAAAAAGCTGGTGCTGCAGCGGCAGAACCTACAGCTGCCGATGCACAAGAAGTCAGGGAAGGCAAAGCAGGTGGTGAAGCTCAAGAAGCGTCGTCGAAGGATGTAGGTAGGGCAGGTACTGCTGCTGCGGAGCCTACCGCAGCTGAGGGCCAGGAAGTCAAGGAGGGTCATGTCGTAGGTGAGCATGGTGCGGCGAAGGATGTTGACAAAGCTAGTAGTTCGTTGGTGGATCCCATGGCAGCTGAACATGAAGAAGTTAAAGAAGGGGCAGTATCAGGAGAGAAGGGGTCGGCAAAAGACCTTAGTCATCCAGACACAGCCACAGCAACACCTTTGCCTGCGGAAGAGGGACAGGAAGTCAAAGACGGTAAATTGTCCTGCGAGAAAGGATCTGTGAGGGAAGTCGTCAAACCTGGCTCTGATACTGCCACCTCCGCCGCAGCCGAAGGACAAGAAGTCAAAGATCGTAAAGTATCAGGAGAGCAGGGAACGGGAAAAGACGTAGAGAAACCAGACGAGAAGAAGGTGACTTCGGTTTTCTAGCTCGTTATTTTTTTTAATCAGGCCTTTATCACTACTTACTTTGAAAGCTACGCTTTTCGAAGCCTACGTTTTCCAAACCACCAGAGACCTTAGAAATGAAACCTTATTTAAACTTCCATGCACTTTTTTCGTTTTCTAACCAGCGAGGGCATTTTCCAAATCGGAGGCTAATATGTATATCAAATAAAGCTAGGCACTGTGTAAGTCATATATTATCGTCTTTTTTTCAGCTGTGGACTCTTTTTAGTCAAAAAATTGTCTTTTAATCCATCTATCCTGAAACTGCAAACTGGTGTTTCGATTTGCCGGTCTGTATGTACAGAGTGGCCGAAAATTATAGGACGCCGAATCGCGCGCTTGCCACCTTCTTGCCACGAAGTAGTTTCGCAGATTTTCGATATGCATCGAAAGAACGTGAGCTATATAAGTAGTGTTGCAAACCATTTGGTGCATTGATCATTCAATGCTTCGTTATGAAGATTTCACCACATCGATCCATTATCGAGAAGTTGCTCAAGGATGGGCTCCGCAGCTGCGACATCGCTAAGCGGCTCGGGATTTCCTCTTCCACTGTTCGAAATATCTCCGCTGCTTTCAAGGTACGAGGAAACACCTCTGCGATGCCAAAAAGTGGACGACCGAGAACTGTGAACACTCGGAGGATTCGTGCGATCATTAGGAAGAGGATCACTCGCAGTGATGAAGTCAGCATGAATCGTATTGCTTCCGACCTCAGAATCAACCGTGATTCCGTCCAGAGAATTGTGAAGAAAGAGCTGAAGCTTAACAGTTACCGTCTCTTCCGAGGTCAGTGGTTTTCGGAGCAAGCCAAGCAAAATCGACTGGCAAAATGCAAAAAATGGCAAAAAACTTCTGAGCGCGCTTCAAGTGCGCCGCATTTCCGACGTGATCTGGACTGATGAGAAGATTTTTACCGTCGTCCCTTTTCCCAACCGTCAAAACCAGCGGCAGTTGCTATCGAAAGCTGACAGCAGGTCTACGAAACGCCGCCTGGCTCACAAAACCCTTTCTCCCAAAAGTGTGATGGTGTGGGCCGGAGTGACTTCAGAGGGAAAGACGCCTTTGGTCTTCATTGACAGAAACGTCAAAATCAACTCGGAAGTCTACCAGAAGATGGTGTTGATTGACAATCTGTTGCCCTGGGTCACCAAGCACTTCGCCCGACGACCTTTCATCCTTCAGCAAGATTGGGCTCCTTCTCATGCCTCCAAATCCACCAGAGCCCTCCTGGATGAGCACTTTCCCGGTTACTGGAGCAAAGAAATGTGGCCTTCTTCCTCGCCGGATCTCAATCCGATGGACTTCGCCGTACGGGGATACTTGGAAAGGAAAATCCAAGGACGCTCCTACAGCTCGGTGGACGCTCTGAATTTAGCGCTTCAGAAGGCGTGGGACGAAGTCGACGTCGATTACCTACGGCGCACAGTCGATTCAGTCGTCGATCGTCTTAAGGCATGTGTAAAAGCAAGAGGGTCAAATTTCGAGCATCTCCTCTCCTGAGTAATGATATAGTTGTGCTTTATTTCTCGATAAAGTTTGTTTGGTTGTTTGTTTCATATCTTGTAGAATAAACATAAAAATATAGCGTCCTATACTTTTCGGCCACCCTGTACACATGTCTGTTAGGTATCCCTCGGTATTGGTGTGCCCATTTGCATGATATCCTTCTTACATGAAACCAGTTTCGTTCGCCATCTTGAGCTTCACGACTTCTGCTGGATCACTTCAAGGTATAGAAGAGGATGCGCATGCACAAAAAAGGATGATCTGCATGGAAGCGAGTCACATCACAATTGTGAGAGAAAATGTATGGAAGCGAGTTATATCACTACCAGTTTAACTCCGCAAGCTATCGCGCACTGAGACGGTAGGTTTTGTTGAATCTGGATAGGCTATGGAACGTAGGGGAGGGGGTCGTATTGTTGCGCTGGAAGAAAGAGATCGGACCGGATTGATGCAGTAGGATCGTCACCGTCGGAGGACAAACATCATGGATCGAGTCGATGCCAAGCCGAAGGATTTCCATTAAAATGTTATTCCAGCCACATGAAATCTTCGTGATTTAGAGGTGTCCGCTAAGCAGTTCTTCATTACTGCAGTGTTTTATCACCACACATGTTAAAGAGCGCAAAGTTCGCACGTTTTCCAAGGGATATTTAATTCTTTAAGTGAGTCCTCGAATCTGAAGGGGGGTGAAGCACACGGCGCATTCTAGGGTGGGCCTTGGTTGCACTTCAACTACGGCTCACTGGAGAAAGAATCTCAACTCAGGTAAATCAAGACGATTCTGAAAGGGTTCGCGTGAAATCACAGTGAGTGCACCATTCAACAAGAAATGCAGCCTTCAGCATGAAGTTCATAAGCATGTAATCGTTAAAGTTGAGATACACTAAACAATTTTGCACCATTTGAAAAGAAAAGCACGAAGATTCCGAATCCGCTCCTTCTTCAGTATATAATCGTCCCTGAAAGGAGCTATAGTCGTTGAAATACGATGCAGCGATAAAGTACCTTTCGGCGGTACTCGGGCAAGAATCTTCAACGTAGCCATTTTTTGAATACTGGACGTATAAATCTGCTTTGACAAACGTTTCATAGAGAAATCTTCTGGCTTTGTCTGCCATATTAACTCTTTAGATTTGACGAAATTGAAGCGAGCTATGGCTCCGGAAAGTGTTAAAACTCGTGCTCATCATGAATTATCCTCGTTAATGGCACGCTCCGGGATTAGGCGCGCTCGCCTGCTCCATCGCGGTAGTAGGAGAGTCGACAGCGTTGATGTCGCGCCCCTGTTCCCGCTTAAAAATGCACGAGAAAGTCGCAGGGAGCTCCCTCAACCTGCAACTCACACCTTCGTCCGCAAGACCCACCCTCCGCTGTTGGTTGCCACGTGACGCTGCTAGTAAAGCGCGGGCGTATTTGAGGCAGCATCCCAAAGCGACTCAATGTTATTGGTACTGGGGCAACTAGAATTAGGTTCGCTAAATTCGTCCAACGCGCTTCTTCTCCATCCCAACGTAGAATGCGGCTGAAATAAGGGGGGTCTCTGTGCGGGGCGTAATCGGTGGTTTCTTTTGCTTTCCTTTTCTTTTTCAAACCATTTCACACGTTCAGCTTCATAACTGAACGCTTTTCCACACCTACTTCACCCCAAATCTTGCCTTTAATTGAAATAAATTTGTCATTTCTAGTGAATCTTTATGATTCCAACGCTGGTTAGGAAGGGCTCTTCACCAAACTCCCAAATCTGCTTTCAGATTGAAAATTCGTAATATTTGAAGAAAGTTATAATCATTTGAATATGTGTTCAACTTTCAATAGATAAGTTGCTCCAAGGCCAACCCAAAAGATCAATCAACACCCAGCTGGCTAGGGCGATTGCGATGCTTCTTTTCATTGGAAGGAGGAGGTGTGAATTGAGAACCATACTTTGTGAAGTACTAAAATTTGGAAAGTTTTGCGAAGAAAATAAGTGGAGAAGAGAAGGTGTCATAGTATGCTACTTTTAGTGACTAGATTGTCGTTTTTTGCTCCTTTTCTCGTTTGCTCTTCTAGAACGCATCGATAATGATTATTTTTTGACTTCCTCACTTCTGTACTTCTTGAACGAGTTTCTTGAGGGACAGGATGGCACGTGGAGTAGCAGGATTTTTTTAAGAACAGTTTTGGGGGAGAATTGAACAACCTTTTCATAGTTCGGCTTTTGAAGCATGGAGTTCGGCCTCTAAGGGAGGGAGGGGGTTGTATTTCCAAATTCTCCTCGGCGGTTCGCTTAACCCTGGTCGTGCGCCATCAGAGCCAACCGAGCCTTCCATCCTTCGAAAGTAGAATTCGTTATCGAAGTTGTTCAAAATTGTTGCGCATTGGAGCGCATATCTCAGTTTAAACCAAACCTTTTTGATCGGAATAAAAACGTCCCTGATAGTTTTGCTCTACAGAAGAGGGTTTAATAGATTCGGCTGTTGGAAGTGCTAGAGATCGTAAGGCGAAAAACTTGGTGAATGTCGTCGTCATCGCGAGAAAGACATGAATCACGACAGCACTACGTATTCTTTGAGGATCGTGGACTATAAGCTCATTTGATATCCCGACTGGCTTCCGCACCTTCCGGACAAAAATTTAGGAGAAACTAGAAACTCGTTCAAAACAGTGTTGTTGTTGTTTTGTACAGGGTCGCACTCAAGTCTTCAAAAGGAGGAGAATACGTTTCAGGGTTAAATTGCCATAAGATTTAGACAGAGTGAGAAATGCTTGTTTTGAAGACATATGAAGAGGTAGCATTTTCTCAGAAGTGATTCAAAAATAAAACGTTTAAAAGTGAGTTACTAAAAATAGCGGGATTATTCCGAGCAACCCAATATGCAATAGATGCGCGATGAGGAGTTGAGGTCCTAATCAGTGTTGAGATTCCACCCTAACGCGCTCTCGTGAAGAAGATTGTAACTCCAGGAACAGGCGGTATACCGTAACCCTCTCGACGTTGGGGTGTTGGTGCTGGGGCGCGATGTCACGCGTCATTAATTTTCCGCGTGTGCTTGCCTCCCACTTCTTTTCGCCTCCCACTTCAGAGTGTTTTCTGTGCTCCCTCATTGGAGAGAGCAAACTCGTCAGCTATATTTAGCACCTTTTTATAGAAGGTGGAGGATGGCACGCATGTTGGTTGGGATCAGAGTCAAGTGAGGCGTTGAGGAAAATTTCGAATACGACCCTCTCCAAGTGGTGGAAATCAAAATAAAACTTTTGACAAGCCAAGGTAGGGAAAGGTTGTTCAACCCTTCCCGAAGATATTTCTTGTGCCACACCCTCCTCCGTAAAATCGCTAAGCACTGAGATTAGATCAGCCGAAGATCAGCAATGGACCCTAGCAAAAAATAGAGAAAAACAAACTAGCCATGAAAAAGAGCCAGCTGTGCATTGAAAGATCTTGAGCGTTGGAGCAGCTTATCCACTACCGAGATTTG